ACGGTTCTTCCGATAAGAGAGTACAACCCCTTTTTCCTGACTCTTTGTATGACGACACAAGGGTCTTTGGTTACTCTGATGCAGCAATTCTCTGCCTTGAACGCGCATTCGCTTGACTTCAGCGTACCTAAAGAAATCAGATTTCTTTTGAGCTCAGGTACGTATCTGACATTTTTTTCTATATTCGTTCAACTTCATCAAACATCCTTATCCTGATTGATCCACTTCCACCAACCTTCCAACAACCCAGTGAGCTTTATTGTCTTCCAGTAGAATGAACCCATCATTTTTCTGCTGTAGTGTCTCAAACCAGTCTTTGTGAGGACACATGTGGAAAGAACACCCTGAGTCAAGGATCCACTCCCTGCTAGATTCAGATTCTGTGATCTCCAGAGCTTCAGCCGAATCATAGCCATCTGAGGCTACGCTTGCCTCTCCAAAATCTCTGGGCTTCTCCTGAAAACTTTTCTTTCTATCCGGACAGTTCCTTCTAAAGTGACCTTCCTTGTGACAGTGATAACACTTGTTAGATCTCTTAGAAGACTGACTTCTGCCTTTCCTTCTGAACTTTGATCTGCTTTGATCACTTTTAAAGCATTTCTTGTTCGATCTTCCTCTAATTGTCAGACTATTTCCACTGGTATCCTCTTTCATGTCGTGCTTCTTCTGGAGTTCTTTAGCTCTAATAAGAGATTGAACCTCCTCCAGAGTTATAGTTTGCGCCTTTCCACAGAGCATCGCATCCTTGAAATGCTTGTAGCTCTTGGGAATAGAGTTTGGCAACAGTAGTGCCTTATTCTCATCATCCATCTTGACGTCGATGTTCTCGAGGTCGTCGATGATCTTGTTGAACTCGTCGATCTGCTCTGAGACAAATTTGTCTTCATGCATTTTGAAGAAGTATAAGCGCTGCTTCAGAAAGAGTCTATTAACCAGTGACTTTGTCAGTTAGAGTACCTTGAGTTTGGCCCAAAGTGCTTGAGCTGTTGTCTCCCTCGATACCTCCCTCAGAACTTTGTCGCCCAAGCTCAGGATTATCAAACTGTGGGTCTTGTCCAGTATGTCGATCTTCTCCTTCTCGGTCATGTCGATCGGCAATGTCGCCGACCCTTGCAAGGTTTCTGCAACATCCTGTTG